GTTTTATAAATATCTGAAAGTACACTCTTAACATCAGTCAGTCAAGCATTATAATATGATAATCAATGTTATTTAATGATAGAACTTTTGTAATTAGAATTAAAACTTAATAACCATGCATGAATGCATATTAGTCATTTTAACTGCACTTCGGACTGGTAGTGGTGCTTATTTGGTCATTCAGTGTTTCTGTAAAAAATATTTTTTTTAAATTGGGGAAAACCTAACAAAAATACTGATTAGATAATAATGATACGAATTCTACTAATGAGGGTTGAACAGGAATATCACAAAATGAGTGCAGACTCTTGAGTACTAACCTATGTAAAATATTTAACATGAAGTCTAGCATTTTGCACATTGTGCAATTACGATTTTGACATTAGCCATCAAGGAGCTTCAAGTAAAGACAGTCGGTTCTTTTCAAAGATACATTCATATAAAATCACCCGCGCTGCATTTTAATTTTGAAACCAATTTGTGGCGGTCAGTTTTGATATTGTGACGAGCCGTCACAAATAACTCAATGTATGGGAAACACTGGACACTGCTATAAGTCAAATGGCCATAGTCGAGTGATTTACTCGCAATGTAGAGGGTTGAACAGGAATATCACAAAATGAGTGCAGACTCTTGAGTACTAACCTATGTAAAATATTTAACATGAAGTCTAGCATTTTGCACATTGTGCAATTACGATTTTGACATTAGCCATCCCCCCCACCCCAGGGTCACACTGATGGTACTCAAAAATGTTTTCAAAGGTTGGCAGGTCTGCGGCTGTAATCAAATAAGCACTGTGCTCACAAACGCTACTTTATCAGGCATACAGGAAAGACTAAATGAAAATGACATCGAAGCTTTTCTGAAGACAGTCGGTTCTTTTCAAAGATACATTCATATAAAAACACCCGCGCTGCATTTTAATTTTGAAACCAATTTGTGGCGGTCAGTTTTGATATTGTGACGAGCCGTCACAAATAACTCAATGTATGGGAAACACTGGACACTGGTATAAGTCACTTAGCCAAGTGATAACAAAAATAA